CGTGTGCGAAGTATTTTGCGTTTTGCCGAAGTGGCATATTCGTCAGTTGAGATATAGTTGCCAACCTTAGGTATAATCTATATATATCAACACTGCTTTTCAAATTGAGTGCTTGCGGCGCGCGACAAATGACAAAGGAATGGGGCGAGCTTAATGCAAATTGACATTTGGAAGCATTATTGGTGCATTCTACACGCCATTTTGGGCTGCCTATGCATCAACTCATCAAATCAAGAAATGTTTGCTATTTCGCTGTCGTCATGCAGTCGTTATAATGCAAACTTTAAATTGGACCAATCAGTGTCCGTTATTCATGACAGTCCGCCATATTTTTGAGATCAGTGAGGATGACCACCCATCGTTGATGACCGACGCCCGCGCTCATTGATGAACTTTAGACTTCGCTAATGCTTTCGTTTCCCCGGGTGTAAATAGCCGGGGGGAATTAGTACCCTCGCACGGCGCTTCGCGCCGCCGGCTCGGGGACAAAACAGTGTTTACACGCTTTCGGTAATGCTATCACTTTTATTCGGTATAAATAACTTTAAATAATACCTCTACGCAATTCCTACACACTGTTAAACAAAATTTTGAGGCTTTCTTCGTGTTTGGCGAAACCGCAGCTTCGTTAAGTACAAACATTTGCTCAAGAACGAAACGTGAAGCCATTTTGTTTTTGTCCGGAGGTCAATAGTGTAAGATATTTGGAGCTGAGCAACCAATCAAATTGCGAGAAAAGCACTTCTTTCCACCTCCCGAGTATATGCTAAAATAAATTATTTTATTTTTTATTTGTGATATTTTTATCTAGTGATATTTTTTATTTCCTGCAGTCTGAGTCGTAATACCCATCTGGCGGATTTTATAAAGAGCTTGCAAAATCTATGACGTCACCTTGTTCAGATAGCATCGGCTCTAGCGGCGGAAGTATGCAAAACCTTTGAGGTACGTAGGCCCCTGTGGTTGTTGCTTATACTTCATGTTCCCTTTACATTCAGAACAAATTTGCTATTGTTACGTGCTTCATGCCTTATTTTATTTTTCATGTTTCAAGATCACTAGAAGTTATTTCTCATGCTTCAGCATGTGTATACCCCCCCCCCCCAATCATTACCTCCTGGAATAGCGGTGCGGAACGTATTTCACAATTGATCCTTTTCAAAAATTAAATTCTGAATTGCCTCGTATCTTATTTGTGTCATTGCTGAATGCGAAGCCAAGTGCAAAGGGTGCCGAATTAAAGCACTCGCCATACGTTTTACAGTGCGTTAAATTACCAATACTATAGAAAGGATGAAACTAAAACTGCAAGTACTAGATTCAATTTTCTGGAATACATAATTTAAATTTTCAGACTTTGCCGCATACACCTAAAACACTTTACATAAATTACTTACATGATACACATATACACCGTTGTTTTACAAGGTAATGTTGGACGAATCCGAAAATAAAGTACCAGTTTGAGATCAATTGAGCTTCAACCATACACGTTTCAAGAGTCTATACGAGTAGACCTATATGAGCAGGTTTTGATTGTGTCAATGATAAGGCAATCAGAATTAAACCATAGAAATCACACTTAGTCTAAAAAGCGACTTGAGCAAGATGACAAAATGATAGTACTAGACGTGACACTATAGTGACGGCAGTCTGTACAAGTCATGAAGAGATCAGGTGGTAGTTTTATACACATGATTAATACAATTTGAACATGTTTTACACGCTGAGTACATTTTATTTTTTTGATGAATAGGAATCCTAACGCCATCGATCACGTGACATATAGAGCCTGATTTTTTTGGACACGCATCATAAGAAAGTCAAATCAAGTGAAATATTTTTCATTACCCGATCCACCCGCTTCCAGTGCATATACTAGCTGGTCTAATTATAATTTTGTGTTCCGTATAGGATCTCATTTTGGTGGCCGGACATTTTGCCGAAAGACACTTTGCGGAAAGACATTTTGCCGAAAGACATTTTGCCGAAAGACATTTTGCCGAACGCACATTTTGCCGACGGACGTTTTGCCGAACGAACGTTTTGCCGAACGGACAGTTTGACGAACGGACATTTTGCCGAAATGTTCTAAACGGGGAGGCAGATGGCCATGGAGCCTGTGAGATTCTTCGAACAGTTATGTAATTTATTGAAATATGATATCGCTTGACCAATCAAAGCTCATAAATCGCTATAATGTTTGTCTTTGACTAAAACTACCGTTAGCAATTCGGACATACTGTTTCACTGAATCGAACGGTGGTATTTTCATCTACATGGCTTTCACTGAACCGAGGATATGAAACCTAATACTATTCCACTATAGGCATACGTACATAGTTAAATTAATCGCGCCTGTCGAGGAGTAAATCCATTTACTAAGTCAAATCCAAGTCCGAGTCAATTCGCCTGTCGAGCAGGCTGCTCCATTTACTGTTCTAGAACTGTTCTGGAACGATATAAAGTGGAGTGCACACGGTGTTCTGGAACAGTGTTTAGTTTATTATATATGCGTGCAACCATGCATTAATATATTCATTAGTTATTCGCATAATAAATCGTATAATGATTTGCTGTTATTTGTATATCTAAGCATGCTTTTGTAACGTTTCTACTCGTTAATTTTGCCCAACCCTGGCGTTCAAATAGCATATAATAAGTATATGTCGATATATAGCGGTTACCCCTTAAGAATAGCACTCTATACAATGTGCATTAGATACACAAAATCTGCGCCTCCATTCCAATTGCACGTGAAAACGGGCAGTGTCATGTGTCTGTTCTGGCTGCCCATACTCAAAAATTGGGGTAGTCAGAACAGTTCAGAACAGTCATATGACTGTCTTTTGTTCCGTTCCATTAGTGTTTCGAAAATCCGGAGTACTCCGAACAGTAAATGGAGCAGCTTGGAGAACTTAGAAGCCATTACTTTTCATTTCCTACAAATAAGCCCATGGACTCATCAGAATTGACTGAATCTACAACTACAAGTTTAAATGGCGTAAATCCGCGTATTGCCAAATTGCGCAAAATGTTTGTAAAAACTGATGATTTATGAGATGTTCCAGATATTTTAGTTGTTCCAGATGTTCCATTCCATGTTTTAGACGTTGCCGCTTTGTGAACCAAATATCGCTACATCGAAAGTGTTAATTATACTTATATGCCCTAGCATTGTTGCAAGCAAATTACCAGAGTTTAAGACTCCGAATTAGAAAGCTACCCATCATACATTGGATGCTCAATGCTTAAGGACCTTTAAGGTTTAAGATCTTTCAAGGACAACTTTTTTCGAAATGGCTATATATATATATAATCAATAGCATCATGCATGGCAGTCTTGGGTTTCTCATTTTTCTCGAGTATTTGAATTAGTATGCTATGCGGTAATTTGATTAGTTGTTCGATTCTATGGCCGTACGGCGGTACTTCCCTAATTGTGATAGTAACTTCTACTTTAGTACGTGCATGAGACAATGTTTAATAATACCAATAATCTTCAGTTTGCGGTATAGATTCACGACAACCAGCTTTACAGCTGTTAACCAACCTTGCAGAGTAAATTACCTATTCTATATTTTCCCCTGAGGTGACTATCTGTGGCGCCATACATTCAATCCATAATAACGCTCATTTAATTTTGGGAGAGACTGATTTGACTATGGCGTGTATTCAGGAATTCAAGGAATGAAAGCGAAATTTTTTCAGTTTAATATTCCTGAAATATTAACTTCTTCCAAATATTCGTATTCTTACTGGTAATTTTCATATTCTCACCAAAAGTATTCATATTCTTATACCAGAAATACTCATAGTAATTCAAACTATATTTTAAAACCCTGCATTCAATATTCGATATTTTGCTACGGCCGCCAATTTTCCCAATTATATGATTGATGAACACACAATCAATGTATTGGATACATGTGATAGTGATTAACATAACGATCCATAATTTCTCGAAAGGTTTCAACATAGTTCACCTACAAAACCAGCGTTGTAACGAGGCACACATGATTTAAAGGTCCAAATCACGAGTCGACACCCTGGATTGTAGTTTGTGAAATTAGTAATCAAATTCACCTTTAAGTTTCGAAACAAGCTGTAAGTTTTTATTGTTGTAAATATCTAATACCCTACATATACCAGAAACAATGAAAAATTTACCCTATTCAAATACAGTTTAATCCTTCTATGCATGGTCAAGATTTGATCCGGAATCTTTTCAAAAGTCTTTCTTCTGTCATTTTGTCCATGTCTATGCAAATTGAGCAAATATGTGGGCGGTGACAGACAATGCTTTTTCGGCTAAGATCTCAACATGATAGGCCTACATGAGAACTATTCGAAACGTTTTCAGAATACGATATATAATTATAAATTATCGATCTTACAAAGAGCCAATTGTAGGAAAACAATACTTTCTTAAGTGACCTTCGTTTCATGTAACTATCTAGTATCAAACCATAAGTCTGAAAACACTGATTCCAATTATTTGATTGCCCAGTGGCTTTGCGCTTGATTAACTGGCCATGCACAATCATGGAAATAATATCCGTAGACTTTTTTAAAACGCATCTTGTCTTACTATTTTGTAAAGCCATTTTATTTTTAGTTAATACAAACACGTCCATGATCGCTAGAAATAGTAACCGCCCCCCCCTCCCCTACTACAATGTTGGTTCAAACCATGGTTATTGGACCTCAAACCAACATTGTAAATGGGGAGGGGGGGGGGGGAAATTGGGAAATTTTTGAAAAGTCTACGAATTAATTTCCATGATTGCAGGATGCAATGCCATATTGTAATACCTAAACAAGCACAATAATTAATTAATGCTAATTCCAGCTATTTCTGTATGAGTGGAGTAGAAATTATAAAAGATTGGTTGTTGAATTGCATTTCCATCAGAATTTGTTTGCTGGTTAAACTTGTCCTGATTTTGAGACCGAAGAATCAGAGAACTACAAGTAAGTAGAAAGTGTATGTACATATAAATAGCAGGTTGACATATGACAAGGATGAAATGTTCTCAAGTGAGATATATCATAATTTCCAGATATGATATATCTCACTCGAGAACATTTCATCCTTGTCATATGTCAACCTGCTATTTATATGTACATACACACACACACACATATATATATATATATATATATATATATATATATATATATATATATATATATATATATTCCTGAAATATTAACTTCTTCCAAATATTCGTATTCTTACTGGTAATTTTCATATTCTCACCAAAAGTATTCATATTCTTATATCAGAAATACTCATAATAATTCAAACTATATTTTAAAACCCTGCATTCAATATTCGATATTTTGCTACGGCCGCCAATTTGCCCAATTATATGATTGATGAACACACAATCAATGTATTGGATACATGTGGTAGGGATTAACATAACGATCCATAATTTCTCGAAAGGTTTCAACATAGTTCACCTACAAAACAGTGTTGTAACGAGGCACACACAGGTCGAGTCACGAGTCATGATTCAAAGGTCCAAATCACGAGTCGACACCCTGGATTGTAGTTTGTGAAATTAGTATTCAAATTCACCTTTAAGTTTCGAAACAAGCTGTAAGTTTTTATTGTTGTAAATATCTAATACTGTACCCTACATATACCAGCAACAATGTAAAAATTTACCCTTTTCAAATACAGTTCAATCCTTCCATGCATGGTCAATCAAGATTTGATCTGGAATCTTTTCAAAAGTCTTTCTTCTATCATTTTGTCCATGTCTATGCAAATTGAGCAAATATGTGGGCGGTGACAGACAATGCTTTTTCGGCTAAGATCTCAACATGATACATGAGAACTATTCGAAACGTTTTCAGAATACGATATATAATTATAAATTATCGATCTTATAGAGAGCCAATTGTAGGAAAACAATACTTTCTTAAGTGACCTTCGTTTCAGGTGACTATCTAGTATCCAACAATAGACGCGTCGACAAAGACTTATCAGTTAAGGATAATCAGTTAATTTTAAATAGTGATAACAGCCCAGCCGAACCACTACAAAGCCATAATAATAACCTGATCAATGGCGCCAAATCTCGCGACGGTCAGCACATGAAAGGTAATTCGAATGCAAGGAAATTGCCAAATATTACCGAACTCAAATCCCTACTTCAAGTCCCTGGAGTGTCAGCTACTATGAATGAAGTCGACAACAAGGTTGACACATATCCCATTATCGATGGTCACCACTGCAGTTTGAGGAACGTCGGTTCATCAACTTTTAATGTTCTTAAAGACATAGAATTTTTACCCCTAATCAGTCTCAACGAATCCCTAGAATACAGTCATCAAGTCCCTGTTGATTTCAAACGTCCTTTTCAGGAAAATCCTGGACGGAAGCCACCTCCCTCGATTGTTCGATCCCACCAGCGATCCCCAGAATGGCTAAATCACCTAGTCCTTGTCCGTCAATTAACGATCGCGTAATTAGTCCCAATACTGCTGATATTAACTATCCAAACAATATCAATATAATAACGCAGCGAAGTAATAAAAATAATTTGAATTCTGTTCCGTCTATTGAACTTGTTTGCAAAATTCCTACTAGAATTACAGTTCGTCGAAATAATTTATGTGCCAAGACAAGGCCGAGAACTCATGCAAGGAAAGTTAATGTCAACAACTTAGTATGTGTAAATTTTGTCTCAAATCCAAAACCAGATATGTTACGTTTTGCAACGATTAACGCTAGATCACTAAGAAATAAGGTAGCTGTATTCTCCGACTATATTGTTGATCAAAATATTGATGTTTGTGTTGTAACTGAGACTTGGTTGAAGGACATGGACACAACAAGTATTGCAGGCGTTTGTCTCCCTGGATATTCATTTAAATCATTTCCCCGTCAATCTAACAGATCAGGAGGAGGCACAGGCGTAATGTTTAACACCAATTTATATGTCTCTCTTTCTGGTGGTGGAGAAACGCAATCCTTTGAATATTCAGAGTGGAATTTTTCCATACTTGAATATTCTATTAAACTTATTGCTATCTATCGTCCACCTTATTGCGCGGCTCACCCTGTTCTACCTGGAAAATTCTTTGAAGAATTCTCAAACTATTTGGAGGATATTGTTCTATGTCCAGAAATTCTATTGATTACCGGGGACTTTAATTTTCACTTGGATGATACGGTTAACAGAAACACGATAAAATTTAATGAGATGCTTGAAACATTTGGCCTCAAACAACATGTTTGTACTCCAACACATTCGTCCAATCATACATTGGATCTATTGATAAGTCGATCTACAAGTGACATTAATATCCTTTCGATTGAGAGTACTTTCTTTCTGTCCGATCATTGTTTTGTAGAATGTAAATTATCTATTCCTCGTCCGAATGACTCCAAAAAGCCAATTTCTTATCGTGTACTGAGAAAGATTAACATTGTTGACTTTAAACTTGATCTAAGCAATGTGAATTCACATTGCGAAAACATTGCACATCTTGATGAATTAGTGCATTGCTATGATGACGTACTTTCATGTATTCTAAATACCCATGCTCCTGTCCGAAGAAAGCTAATGAAAGTTAAGCGTTCAACTCCTTGGTACAATGACGAACTAAGACAATTGAAAGTAAAGCGTATGAGACTAGAGAGAAAGATGCGGAAAACAAAATTAGAAGTAGATTGGACTGCCTATCGAAAAATATGTAACCGATATTGTTACTTGTTGAATAAAGCCCGAACTGATTATACTTCCCTTATCAGTGATAGCTCCAACGATCCAAAGAATCTTTACAGAATTGTGAGCTCCCTTTGTAATGCACCGCATGAAGATCCCTTACCACCTCATGACGGTCAATTAGCAAATAGGTTCAACGAATATTTTTTCCGCAAAATTGAATTGATTAGAGAAAATGTGGACAGTATCCATGTCGATCCTCCGTTGGGGCATTACCGTAATCCTGAAGTCAAATTAGAATCTTTTGAGATACTTTCTTCCCAGGATATTCATGATGTTATTATGCAATTGTCCAGTGCCAGCTGCAAGCTTGATCCGATCCCATCATGGCTTGTTAAAATCTGTTGTCTGGAACTAATTCCCTGGACTGACTTGTAAAAGCCCACAAGGACTGACTTGTAAAAGCCCACAAGGGTTTATCTGGTCCTTCCAGTCAGGGGCGGCGCTAGAATCAAAGAAACCACACATGCAGCAATGCAATTTTTTTACGGTGTAAGGTTTAAAAACTGACGGGTATTGTGTATTGTGTATATACGTTAGATGTTTGAAGATCAAATTTCGCGCGTCTGGAGTTAAAATTTGGCTCCAACTTTCGAATTTTCCGGCTGGAGGTAACGTTCCAGTTATATTCCGATTTCAATGATTCGTAAATTAAATGCGTGATTAATAGTGCTCCAAGACGTGGAACAGATTTTAAGAAATGCCGAGATTTTGACTTTTCGAGGGCTGCAAAATGGATGCCGACAGGAATTTTGGGTTTTCTGATTATGCGTGTCTCAGAATGATGCAAATGCCATTTCCGGGATTCAAATTTAAAAATTTTCCGTGCCTTCTGCACGAGCCTCCTCCTCCCCAATATTTCATAAAATGCCCGCCACTTGCACACACGGTGGCTTAAAAGGTCTTAAAACTGTTTATTCTACCGATAAATAAAGGGGTTTTTATTGACTGGGATTTCAATAACTCGGACTGGGATTCCTAATAAAAATCCAACTGGGACTGGGATTTTGCCAAAATTTCAGGTGGAAAATGGGATTGGGACCTCCCCCCTTCAGGACCCTCACTATAGGCTAATGACTCGGCAAAATTACCAAACAACAGTCGGCAAAAGATCACTCACACACCCCCACTCGAAGAGGGTTAGCGCCGCCCCTGCTTCCAGTATCAATTAATTTGATGTAAATGTGTTATGAGAAATGAATAAAGTATACTGATTTCGAGATGTTTACGCCATTGGCTGCATCATCTTCGAACTGTATACGTCCAAGCGTGTGTGGAGCGATATTGTGAACCCAGGACAATTCTTTGCCAAAATCTTTTCAAACGAATATCCAAATACTGATGGTTTGAAGCAGCATCAGAAGATAAAGGAAATTGTTGATGGATGCTTTAAGGATCCCATGGAACGGCTGTCTATGCAGGAAATTCTTCAAAAGCTGAATATACTTGTTGACAGACAGAAGTACTAGTAGATGTGGAAATCAAACCTGAACCATTTCATAAAATTTACATCAGCATCAATCTAATTGACGAAGTTAACACGTGTTTGAAATAGAGTTTAATTAAATATATTGCGTTACTGAACGTAACCAGATCTGGAACTTTTTATTTCTATGTTATAAACGCTTACGATGCAACACGCACTTGCATATACAACAGCGTTAAAAAAACAAAAACGGCCACATCAATCGAACTATACATGCACCTCATATAGGTTGCATGGGTTGACAAAGTTAAATTTCTTTAATTGATATTTTGCTACAGTCATTTCACTGTTACTTCTTGCAGCTTATTAGGCATAGCATAGATTGATCATGCATGCAGTGTTATTCTATGACTAGGCAATGAGAATGGTAAAGCGGCTGTTGGAAAATAGCAACAAAAGAATATTGGATTCGTTTCCTAGCGGCATGCACGCGCAAAGCAAAATTATAATTAACTCGTGCATGTAACGTGGCCTCTCTATACTATATAGACATAGTATAACGTGTACTTTAAAGTGCATATACGATATCTTCTCCCCCATTTCCTTTCTTTATGTTGGAAGCAAAGAATTAGACAAACAGGCCAGAGAGACTTGGTAACCAGTGTCTTAATCGGACAACCAAATAAACATAAACGTTCCAAAATATTTGTTTAGATGCATTCACTAACTGTACCAAATTTCACTTAATTTCGTAGACAACGTCTAATATATTAGACTTAAGTTTTTTCTTTTTGCTGCCATATTACTGTCGTTCCAATTGAAGTGTTCCTCAAATATTGATTCAATACATTACCTCAGGCTGACCAATTCATTTCATCAAGTTCTTCGAGATATTCATACACTTCCTGTGAAAGAGCCAATTCCAAGAATTTGATCATTTCTGGTCATTTCCTTTCTATTTATGATTGGTTAGTTGCACAAACAACAAAGGTGATTGGTGCATTCAAACTATTCAACAGGAAGTTTACAATTATACTAGGAAGTGTATGAATATTTTGAGGAACTTAATCAAATGAATTGGTCAGCCCTAGGTAATGTATTGAATCAATATTTGAGGAACACTTCAATTGGAATGACAGTAAGCACAACTAGTGACGTACACAAAAATACAGAATCCCGATAAATTGGGAACAAGTCAAGCTGTGCATAAATTGCTAAAGAAAAAAGTTATACCTTGGAAATGAAGAATGATCTTTAGCAATTTATGCACAGCTCGACTTGTTCCCAATATATCCAATGTCCAAATGGGGAGAAGGTGTCGAGCCATGTGTACCTTAATTAAATATAACTTGTTTAATTAATATTGTGTTTATATTACCTTAAGGTTACAGGACACCCTTTTTGGCGTTTTGGGGAAAATCGCTACTGCGCGCTCAATATCAATCCGATTTTCATCAAATTTTCACCAAATGTTCGCCAGTGCATGCAAAATATGGTAAAGTTGTAAAATTCACAAACAATAAAATAATGTAAGAATTATTCAGGAAAATCTTAAATCGCGGTACCTTTACGCTTTTGAGTTGTGCTGGTTTTAAGTTATATTTATGAAAATATCATTTTTATACAGTAAAATAGTTGTTCGAAAAAATAGTGTTCGTAAATTTTTGTTTATTTCGTCATTCCGCTGATATGGCGATTTCTTTGACGACTGCAATATATTTCTGAATTGTTTGAGTGAATTGCTCTTTATTTTTAAAATATCCAAAATTAAAAAAAGCCGAACACAATTTTGAAGCTGACGTATTTAGCTATGTCCTGTGAAAATTTGAGAAAAATTGGTTAAAACCCGCAGGAGCACAACTCGTTTGAAAATCAGTAATTACCGTAAAATTTTTCGGGAGAAAATTGAATTTGAATATTACATTTTCAATGTTTTTCTTATTGCAGCGAAATGTATTTTATTAAATAACTCTGCGAGTTTTCAACATTTTTCGTTGAAACTTGGTCAGATAGTAGAACTAGTCTAATGCTTTCATGCAGTGGCGTGCTGAGTACTATTTTTCTGGGGGGGGGCAGTCGGCTGGCGACTAATATGCGCCCCTATAATATTACGCTTGATAAACGAGGGCTGAAGGCACGAGCCGAGCGCCGCAGGTGCGAGATTTTTCTAGGGGGGTCCGGGGGCATGCCCCCCGGGAAAATTTTTGAATTTAGAGTCTCTGAAATGCCATTTCCTGGACTTTGGGGGAAGATTTGACAGAAATCTGATGGTCAGGGAACGGCATTACAACGTGTCGAAATTTGAAAATTGGTTAGAATTTAGTAGTAGCACTTAAATAGGGCAATGCTAACTACTTCCAGCAATTAATCTAATCCCAATTCTATTCTCTACTGATCTGAATACATTTACACATTTACAGCTCTTTTATACAATAACACACGGACTCCACGCATATGCATTTTAAGGTTTCCTTGCCTGGCTGCCAAAAGGGCGCGTTTCAGCATTATTTCATTACTTACATTACTTGGCATAATGTTTCTTGCGCAAACAACTAAATTGCTTACACAACTTTACATTATCATAACTTCAACTATCTAATTTGCGCCGCTCTCGTGATTCGTGAAGCATAATAAAGGGCATAATATAAGGGTATAATACCAGCAAAAAAGGGCATAATTCCCGTGATCGCGCTTCAAAGCCTGATCAATATTCCGGTAATGAGACATTGCGTGCGATCACTGATCATGTTTCTATATGAACGAGTGATTTCGTGTGAGTCGTGAGCCGTAGCAAATTCGGTTAGACAAAATAGTCTGCAATTTAATATACTCACTTTGTCGCCTATGCGCTTAGTCTGTTTATAAGTCTATAAACATATCTTTCCTTGGCGGAATTAGAAACTATATTTTTTCGAATGCGTTTCTTCCCACCTACTTTCAAAATTCGGCGCGGGATCGGCGCCCCCTTTTCATTTTTGCGCCCCCCAAAAATTGCCAGCTGGGGGGGCCGTGGCCCCCCGGCCCCCCCCTGCCAGCACGCCACTGCTTTCATGGAAACCAATAAAAAAAATTTAGGCAAAATTAACACTCAAAGGTGTTCTGTAACCTTAATATTATGTAATTAAAGCATATACATTGTATTCTGTACACATATAATAATAAATGTATACCTGATTGTGTGCAGAAATTAACAAGATGAATGTACATCTCTTTCCTCTGCTGTATATTCAATGGACCCAAGTCAACTGCTGAACGTCGTATTTCTTCATTCATTACATCCAGGAAATTTGCAGATAAATAATCGGGAATGATGCGATGTAATTCATGTTCTGCAGCGAGTGGAAGGAGGGCTTGGTCGTCGATTGGAAAACCCTTTTGCGTGAACCCTGTAATCGTAAACATACAGTGTAGCACCCGTTTATGTATTTTTGGAAATTTGGTGGTTTAAAAGTAACAATGGGTAGACTAAAAAATGTAATGCCCAAATACACTCTTCAGGAAAGTACGTTACTTTGGCCATAGTCAGAGAGTATCATTTTGGTGTATGATACATTATAGTTAAAACCTGACGTATCAATAACGAAAACGAAACTATATATATATAGCCAAGGTGATGTATACTTCCCGGAAGCGTGTATTCCGTCATTAACAATTAACTACCTCATACACAGAGGCATCTGAATGTATTTTCGGGTACTTCCTCGGGTAGTAGAAGAATTTGAATCACAGATTATGTCATCAGTTAGTTATATAGTGATTAGCTATAGTGTTGAGGTTGGTTTAGATTTTAAGGTAAGGGTTGGGGTAAGGGTTAGATTAAGGATTAGGCTTAGAGATAGGGATTGGGTTATATCTGACGACACAAACAACATAATTAGCCGATCACGTGATCAGTTCTGTACCCACAAAACTACCCGTATTTTCCCCATTTAAAATTTGTAAAATCACGTTTTTCCCATTGAACTTAGATTTATTGTTACCTGGTCGCTCTGGGAAATGAAAATTATCTTCAGGGACACCAGGTGGGCACAGTCTGTCCTTTTGTTTACGGACATTATATGCGTTGTATTCCTGCATGAATTCTGCTATCTGTCGCTGTAATAAGGGCATGAATACGTAGTAAAGACAGCCCCTGAAAAAAAGTTTACAGGTAAACTACGTGAAGCGTTCCTCTTTTGAGTTCATAACTCAATTGGAATTTCCTAATTATATTTGCGAATTTGAAAAGCTTCTTTGCAAATCCCTTGAGAAAATGTGCAATTTTACTAAGTTATTTCAATGTTCCTCACTTCATGTTTAAAGTTCTTAACTCCCTGTTCTGTTCTGTTTTGCGCATTGTGATTGGTAGATTATTTCTGTGGACAAAAATTATCTGTTTATACCTGTGAATGATATTATCCTTTTGCCAATTCCCCGTTGATTCTAGATCCTGAAGAAATATAATACGAGAAGAACGAGATCTGAATTGTTTTAACAGTGGCACCATGCAATCGTCACCAACTATTAAAATTTATGATATATATACCTGAAAAAAGTCCATCCAAGAAGTTGTCCAGTGGCACCTTAAATGACTCCACCAGCATTCAATCCTCTATAAATATAATTTTTTATATAATATATACATATACATATATATATACATATACATATACATATACATATACATATACATATACATATACATATATATATATACATATATATATATATACATATATATATATATATATATACATATATATATATATATATATATATATATATATATATATATATATATATATATATATATATATATATATATATATATATATACAGGGTGTATCAAAATAAACGCAATTCATCTTTTGT